CACCAGGGCCCTTGTTCCCACCCCAGTGCACAGAGCAAAGACCATGTGGGGACTCGGTGAGACAGAGACAAGGCACCTGCCTACCAGCCAAGAAGGGGGCCTTCACCAGGAACCACGCCTGCTGGCCCCCCAATTCGGCACCTCCAGCCTCCAGAGCTGTGAGGAACTGGGTGTTTGTGGTTTAGCTCCGCATAGGTGCTATGGCAGCTGAGCAGATGACGACAGAGCGAAGAGTGTTGAAAAGTGAGCCGAGGCCATTCTGGCCTTCTGACAAATATTGGGCATGTCTAGAACGTGTGGGTTCCCTGGACAAGAAGAGGAGCTCCAGGATTTTGTCTCAGCAGTAGCCACAGCTGCACCTATGGGAGATGATGGTGTCGGCAGAGAGCGAGAGCTCGTTCAAGTAATTCGATAAGGTAAATGTCATGCTTGAAAAAAGGATGACCCTGCTTGAAAAAAGAATTTGCAAAGGGCCTTTAAAAAAAACCCAAAATCTTCCCCCTGCTAAAATGTTGACATAAAACTCCTAGAATCAGGGCAGCCCTGGAGGGCAGGTCTGGCCCCAGCCCGGCCTCTGCGGGACACACACAGCTTGTCCCTGGGACGAGGGAAGGTCGCCGCCCCGTGTTTTCACACTATTCTGCCACTCTGCTGCCTGTCTCGGGAGGAACCTTAAACAGTTCAGGGCGACAGGGGCTTGATTTGTGAATATGGGAAGATGACCTCTGTAACGTCTGGAAACCCCTTTTAGGGCTAACTGAAATTCCTGAAATTATCCCAGATGCAGAGAGGAGGCTGGATTGTTCAAGAGACCCCTGCACCCTCCAAATCCTCTTCAGCCCATGGAAACTCTTGCTTCCCCAGAGAACCGGATTGGGCAAACCAGCCTCTGGAGGAGGCGAGACTCCTGGTTCCTGGTGCCTGGCCAGGGCATCGAGACCACCCACCCAAATGGGGCAGGGAGACCAGAGCTCGTCATTCTCTTTTATATGGGCCGAACCGGCCATATAACTTGTCAGGAAAAACATCGCAATGACATTTTCACGTGATCTGAAATTGCCTGTGAAGACATCTGCTTGAAGCACAGAGATGAGGAAGTTCTTTGTTGGCCATGACCTTCTCAGAAGCGACAGGCCACCCTGTGAACCGTGCTGTCATGTGCCCATGTGCACAAGTAAAGACCCAGGTCATTTCATGCCAAATACCTCTGGTGTCTCATGTCAGGCTGTTTCCCATTGACCTTTTCAAACAGCTATCATGGCATTTATCTCGTTTCCTTAGCAACTAGCACAACCCCCTTCAAGGACTCTGAGACAGATACTGTCGTTTTGCCTTTGACATTCTTGCTCCTACAGGGCGGAAATGTTCCCCACACCTCCCCAGAGTTTAGCTCGCCTTCCCATCCTGTCCCAACAGGTCGGGAGACATCTTCCCTTCCTCCTTGACATTCCAGTGTGTCTGCTCTTCCTCTTGCCTCCCGGTTTCCCTTTCTGACCTTCTCTCAGTTTTTTTCTGGTTCTCTCTTCCTGTTTTCACTTTTTCTTCATTTCCTTTCTCTCTCCCTTTTTCCTCCCTCACATTAGCAATTCCAAATGCGAATCTGTGATCCTTGGTCCACCCCGTGTTCTACTGAGAAACAAGGGCCTCACCCATACCATCAAACTGAGAGACACTGCCGTCTCAAGGTGGGTGTCAGAATGGGAGGGAAGGGTGCCCCTTCAAGGTGCCCCTCTGAGTCCTGTCGGCTTCCTGTGCTTATGTCTGAGCTGGGACCCCAAGATGCTGTGGAGCAGAAACACTGGGGGATGGGAGCAGGAGAAAAAGAAGGGGTCATAGGTCCTTATTTAAGATTCCTAAAATGCAAAGAGAAGAATTAGCACCTGGGGTGGGGGGGACTGTCAGAGAGAGGAGATAGGAAGTATAAAGAATGAGGCACGGGGGGGGGGTCAGTTGTCATGGAAACATGGGCTCCCTGACATCCCCACAATGAGGATTTAGACTTGACCGTGGCTCTGAAGGATTTTTTTTTCCAAACCAAAAGACACGTTAGCTACTAGTTGCCTTTCCAATAATATCCTTTAAAAAAATCTCTATAATTTAAATAGGTTCATTTGAAATCAAGGCAAATTAACTTTTAAAAGATGGAGAACACAGGCAGCTGCCTTAAAATGATGGAACAAATGCCACGATTTTCACAACACTGTTCTCAAGTCCGGCAATGCGGTGCATGCTGCCTGCACAGGGACGAGTTTCCTCCTTTGAGAAGTGTGTATACGCTGCATTGGTAAAGTGAAGTGTTTTCAATAGAGACAAATTTGAAGTCTTAACCAGCTACTCATTGCTTTGTGAACTTGAATGAAGTGCTTCACGGTGTCTCGCAATCCTTCCTAACAGTCAGCACAGTCAGTCACTGATGCCTGCGTGGCCCACGGCTCTGCAAGCCCGACAGGTGATCCGCCCAGGTGGGTGGGCTCAGGGGCAGCACCCAGCATCGCGACCTCTGTGCTCAGACACCAGGCTCGGTACCCGACCAAGTCCAGTAGTCAGGGCTCCGGAAGGTGCAGCATTAGAAGTCAGGCTCCGCTTTGATAGCCTGTCGGGGTGACATTCGGAAAGTATACATGTGTCTGACCAGGGTTTGGGGGCGGGGAACAGAATCTTAATTTCTTCTTTATGACAACTGCCTGGTGGTGTTTTTTCAAGATACCACTTTTCTCAACAGTCGAGAGCAGTTTTCCAAAGTCCCCACGTGTGACACGGGTTCAGTGCTTTGAGCTCACTGAACTAGTTGGAATTTAAGAAGTAGAACTGGAATCGTATTGTTATAGGAGACAGATATTTTACTCATAATTTTTACATAGCAATACTTCTTTACAAGATTGATATTTCCTCTTCATGGGGTCACTGATGTGAAGAATGGGGCTTCCCTGAGTTTCTCACAAATGTTCTTTTTCCTTCCCCCCGTATGTTGTCTAGCACAAACTCTGTAACGTCGGAGGAGGGACTTTGTACACAATTTTAACTCAACTTCCTCCTTTCGGACATGAAGTTGAGATTCAGCCGAGGAGTCGGGATCAAGAACCTGGTCTGTCATTCCCAGTCCTGGGCTCCCTCTCCACCGTGTTTTTCTAAGCACTGAGTTCTTCTATGGAACAAATGGAAAAGAGCGTGTGAACCTTTGGTTTCGTAAAGATTTTCAGACCACCAAATTGCACTGACTACACAGGTTAACAGAGAACTATTCCCCTCTTAAAAAATATCCAACATATAAAAAATTCAAGAACAGATAAACCAGTAATCACTTTATAAAGCTAAGTATTGCTGATTCTCTCAAACAGTTTTCTGGGTGTACTATATGCATTTTTTAGGATACAAAAATTGGATTTATTCAGAACTTTCTGGAACTCCTATAAAAATCAGACATATCAATGCTCCCTCTTCTGCTATAGCAAAGCAATGTACTATTTTTTACGGCATTCTCATTTTCAACTCCTTTGAACAGCATCCTCTGAACAAACTTGCAATGAAAGTCCAGCTCCTAGGGGACCACCCAGCAGGGCCGCAGTGCGCTGGAAGGTGAACATCGGAACTTCGTCGTAGGTAAGGAGTTTGCGACCTCTGGCAACACACCCAAACAGCGGCCATTGCCTGACCTCTCACTCATGTCTGCTGCCTTTCTCCTACCCATGTGGAGAATCCCTTCAGAGCAGGGATTCCGGAGGAAGACCGGAGGGCGTGACCTTGCCTCCTTCCCTTAGAGAGGTGCACGCTGGGATGCCCTGGAAGGCTGTCTGGGATCAGCACTCATACTTCTGTTTGCAGTTAGTGTGGATCGGGAGAACCAGGCTATTTTTAGAAATTCTCATGCTGGAATCTGTTTCACTCAACCAGTTAGCCAATGTCAAAACCCCTTTCCAAAAAAAGAAAGTCTGGAAGCTAGACCTTATACAACTGCATACCAAAATGTTTTTTTTTTTTTTCTCCTTGAACCTTCTCACCGAAGTAGGCAGCACTAGATTTCTAGACATAAAACTCTGTTTACAAACTTCCCGAGATTCTGATGTAGTGACCGGCACTGCGAATTTCCCATGTTTCCTTGTCTTTACCCTGCAGGTGGACTGGATTCTGGAGGCTCTCGGAGAGTTGATGGACACTTTCACTGTGTCAGCCTTGCTAATACTCTATGCTAATACTCTATGATTGTTAAACTTTATCTCCAGGCCACCTTTTAAAGTGGCACCACAAAATTTCAATTATTACCATGGAGTACAGTGAGATTTTTACAGTCCACGTAAAGTTGCAAGTATCTCTGGCGATGCATTATCTTTGTCCATGTTACTTTTGCTTCTGACCAAAATTATTACATCTCCTGGGACAAATTAAACTTTTTTTTCTGGCATGCTTCACGCTTTAATATTTGGCTTAGTAATCTTTTGGCTTACCCATATCTTCCGAGAAACTAATTGTCAACGCATAGTTTAGATGACAGTTAAGCTGATAACTTGTAATAGTCATATCAGGTTCTAATATTCCTTACATGCCTCAGGGGCTCATTCCAAACTTAGTTTTAAAAAAATAGCTGAACAATTAATGGAATTTAAAAGTGTATCAAAACTAAAAATGGTTGGCCACATCCTGAGGGCTCTCACTGGAAGTTCAGTGGGAATTCTCCCTGTGCACTGCAGAGCTCAGTCATGTGGTGGTCCTCAGGAAGCAGACTGTCTGAGAAGGTGGCCTGTCCCAGACTGATTCACTGGGTTCTACATTCAAGAGTACCATGTGCTAAAATGTTTTGAATCATGATATATAGATTAAGAGATAACTTGGAATAAAATATGATAGCAACTGTTATCCCTGGGGAACTTTCTTATATAGGCTTGCATATTTTCGAGGCAATGCCGGCCTGACATCTAGTTAGAGAGGAAGAACAAGGGCGGGGGGGATGCATGTTCTGCAACGGCAAATTCTGCTTATAGGGTAAGGATGCTAATGGGCTGAACTTAGCGGCTTATAATACAATTTCCATTTTATTTTAAACATATTTTGCATGATATAAAAATATTGATCACAGTGAGCTTTACCAATTGTTATTGCAATAAAAATGAATGCAGACACAATATTTTTTAGTGGAAATAAATTATATAGTCATTATTTTTTTTTTAAACCATAACAGGAAAACCTGGGCTGTTGGGTCCTTGGCGGAAAACCAGTGTTTATGAGAGGCCCTTGGCAGATGAGTCCGAGCCCGTTTCCATGACGGCGACCCCGTGGTTCAGGAATCCTCCACTCCCGTCCCTGTCACCACGGCCCCACAGAGGTCTCTCTGTCCCCACACAGTTCGAAAGGGGCAGCTCAGGTTTCCACGGCAGAGATGCGGCGGACTGGAAACTAGTCCAGCCTTAGTTCGCGTGTGGCCTTTTCCAGTATGCTGGGACACAGCGACACACTTCTTCACTGAAGGAGAGTCCCGGCTCACAGTGCCTCGGTCGGTTTGCACACGGCCGTCTGTAACAACTGGGAAAACGCAGAGATGCACACTTTTGTAAAGACCAAGGCGAGGAACCCGTCACGCTGCAAAAACACTTTCGTGTTTTCTGAATTTTAAACTAGGACGAAGTGACTCATTTTGTCATAAAATTGTCCTTGGGTTTATAGGTTTGTAAGTTGTTAAAGTTCACGTTTACAATCACAAAGTTGAAGAGGAATGGAAACCCCCCCCACCCTGAAGTGTCCCGATTGCTGATATAACAAATGGGGGAATGAGAAGCCGTCAGCGTTAAGGCTTTTGAAGTGCTCTCTGCTTCCTAAGAGAAATGGGAATGTTGGAAGCATCTATTTAAGGTCTGCTTGCTCAGTGATCCTGTAAGTAAGGCAGACTTCACTCGCGTCTGAGACTTGTAGTGAACTCAGGCTTCGCAGAGACTGAACCCAGCCATCCTGTTCCACCTTGGCTGCATGTGCAAAGGGAGGGACCAGGTCACCGTGGGGGCCCCTCCTCCTCCGCTAGACTCCCAGTTTCTGGCAGTGGTGAAGAAGGAATGATCAAACAGCCAAGTGCATGCACAGCCCTGTTGCTCTGAGGAGTGGGAGCCTTATTTGAAGATGACTCGTTTTTAGGGGGGGAGGGGTTGGAGCATGCGTTTGCTTAACATGTGGGAATGGAAATGGAGATCCAAGGAAAAGTGTGAATGACCCAACAGGGAAATTCAACATGCACTTCAGAAAAACCACAAATGTGATTTTATAATTTCATTGCTTGTGCTTCAGAAAAGACAGCACATGTAGTTAAAACATTATTTTTTAACTTCTAAATACAAATGCAGTTTTAGAAGACCACTGTAATTCCTTCACTAAAAATATAATTGTCAGTGAGCAATGAAAGTTGCTGATTAAGGCAATGGACCAAAGGATATATACTCTACCCACCACAATTTTGGAGTAATAATGAGAAAAAATGAGTATAAATATTTTTAACATATTTATATGTATGAAACGTATTTTTCAGAGTATAAGATGCACATTTTCTCCCCAAAGCTTGGGAAGAATAATGGTTGTTAATGCTGCTGTTGAGTTCTGTTTACATTTACACTGGTGAAATATTATGCTATTTATATTATTAAATATTTTACCATATTTTTTGCTTCAATTTTTTTTTCTTATTTTCCTCTAAAACCTAGGTGCATCTTGTGGTCAGAAAAATATGGTATATTATTTTTTGCTTCAATGTATACATGAAACCTAGAAGTACACACTTATAGGAGAATGAACATAGAGAAAGTAGCAGTAGTTGAAAAATCTTTCTGAAACAATGCATGTAGGATTAGGAGAAATACAATGATAGAAATCTTTTTGACTAAATTAATATAAGAATTCAGGAGAAAAATAGAATTGCTGTTTAGACCATGGAAGCATAAAAATTTTAAGCTTTTCAATATATTCTAAGTAGGTTCACTCAAGAAGATTCAGTACACAAAATTGTTTAATAAGATTTAATAGCTATATTCTGAAGTTTTGAAATATTCTGGTAGAGTAGGGATTTGCAAGTAAAATTACAATATAGTTATTGCTTAAAATATTCTAAAGAGAAGAAAAGGCTCTTTATAAGGTATCCTGAAACAATGAAAAAGACATCAATGATATACGTCGATTCATTGAAATCTCTAGGTAGCAGCTAAAATGCAAGTATAGACAGATCATCAGAAATATAAATTAAGATGAGAGCACAAAACTTTCAAGAATCAAAAAGGTGGGCACTTTACTGACTGAGGAAAAGAGAATGATGAATGGGTGAGCGCAGACACTAAATTATAAATGTAAGTTACAATGCAAGTGTCGGGTCATGTGACCAGTCACCCCAGGAACGGGTGTTATCACCGTCTTTAAAGAGTGGACGGAAGAGAAGAAGAGGAGTCAGGGAAGGTGATGAAGCACAAACATCTGGAAACTCAAAGACACCAGGAAAGGATGATGTTACGTCAGTGAAAAAACAGAAGAAAGCTTAGGCTACAGAGAGGACGGCTTACATAAAGACCAGACCGTCCACTGGAATTGGCAATGAAGAGTCTAGGGACACCTTAAGCAGAAGCTTATCGTGGAACCTCGGGCATAAACCCCATGACAGCTGGTGGAGAATTTAGAGATGAAAGAGGTGAATTAATGGGTGGTTACCAGAGGGGCAGAAGGTGGGGACAAACATAGGGTGACAGCAAGAGACTAGACAATGGGTGACGAGCCACAATGCAACACACTGATGATGTATTATGACACTGTACACGGGAAACCTGGGTGATCTTACAAATTTAGTAGTCAACACATTTTAAGTAGAAAGAGGTGAACACAAAAGCCTTAGACCAACTCAGGACGGAAGGAAGACAGCTCTTGGTCACTAAGGGCACTCTGCATCGCAGGGAGATGCTGATAAGACAGAAGATGTTCAGAAACTGTCATAAATTGAGGGAAAGGACAACAGCATTAAGGTTTTAAGGTCACCAGAGGAGAGGCAAGACTGGCGGGCCTCCTTGAAGGAGTGTGGGAGGACCTGCCCAAAGGACCATCTGGCTTCCCCCGCTGACCACCTCGCTCTCGGGTTAGAGAGTAAGCAGCTCAGGACCCACATCAAAAGGGTTTGAGTCCAAAGCCTCATTTGTTTTTCTTGGTGAAGAAGGGAAAACAATCAAGGCTTAGGGAATGAGTCCTGCGTGACCTTAAACAGCACATTAGTTCATTTCTCGAATTCCCCTGAATGCTTTGCTGACATATTCTTATGTTTAGATTCAATTCCACAGCAAGTGGCCCTGTCCTACCCTTTATAAATTTGGACAAAGTCATCTTCACTTAGAAGAGCTGTCCTGCTCTGATGGGACCTCAGTTTCGGTGGGGGCCGGGGGGCCCTGCCTGGCTGCACTTGGAAATGCTCCACAGGCGCCTGCCCCCCGAGTGTTGACAGGCACTGTCCTCGCCTCCGGGACGGGGACTCGGAGCATATTCCGAGTGTGGATCTGGTTTGGGTTTCCAGGGCCCACGTCCTGCTTTTTGGGAGCAAACGTTGTCTCACGGAAGTTTGACACTGGTTAAAACACATCAGAATTCACCTTCCAGAACTTACCGTTCTCATGCCAACAACAAGCAGCTGATACTTGGGTTGAGAAGACGGCTTTTAGCTGAGAAAACTGTTTCCAGGGGAGAGAAATAAATACAATTTATGAAGATTTCTTACCTGCATGTTTGATGTTGAAACTTCTTTCCTTTTAAGAAGCATTTCTGTGGATTTTCTGTACATTCACAGGCGCATTTTGCGGGGTTGAGGGGTTGATTTCTCGGGCAGGTTCTTTTACATATGCATTGACATGTGGTTTCATCAAATTCTCTGTTGGGCCCACACGAGGCGGGGAAAAGTTTGTTTTTACAGACACACTGGCATGAGTCCCTGTCCAGTTCTTTGTGGGGTCCACAGCTGGAAGGCCAAAGCCCCCCTTTGCAGACACACTGACAAGTCTCTTCATCCAGCTCCTTGTTAGGTCCACAGATGTCGTGGAATCCATCTGCCGAGTCTAGACAAACACAGGTGGGACATCTTACTACGCTTCACGTGGTGCTGGGCATGGTGGGAAGCAGTTACAGGCAGGGAGAGTGTCTCCCCTTCTAGATTTTTCATTATAAGGCTGTGCACAATCACGGGATGTTGCTTTACAAAGGAGTTCGACCTAATATCAATGTGAGGCCACAAAGGCCCTATCGCATAGCGACTTAACTCAGGGTACAATGACCTCAGTATCATGCATGTGACCAACACTGCAGTGTCTGTTAATCACAATAGAGACCCTTGGCATTTAGTCTTAAAAAACACCATTCTGGCCCTGCTGGTGTGGCCCAGTAGACTGAGTGTTGGCCTGTGAACCAAAGGGTCGCTGGTTTGATTCCAGTCAGGGCATATGCCTGGGTTCGGGAATATATCTCCAGTAGGGGGTGTATGAGAGGCAACTATACATTGATGTTTCTCTCCCTCTTTCTTCCTCCCTTCCTCCCTCTCTGAAAATAAATAAAATCTTAAGAAAAAAAACCCACCATTCTGCTTACCGTCTCCAGCACTAGAGGCAAATAAAAAGTCTTGCTGAGTGAGGCACCTGCAGGCATGGGTATTCCACGTGTAATTTGTTGGGCATGTCTTGTTGGCGGCGAGACACCTTGGGGGACACAGATGAGTCAACATTAGTGTAACTGGCATGTAGAAGGCAGAATCTGTCACCTCTGTGTCACAACATCAACACACGCTAGTACAAGACACTCTAAAATGATGCAGGGGCATAGGAAATGAAGCATGGTGTTCCCTCGAGAAAAGCCTCCGTCCACACCTGCTATCAGATACTAATCCCAGCGATGGCCGATGTCCATGGTGTGACCTTGTATCCCTCCAGACTTTGACCTCTTCAAGGCAAAGGCATAAATTTGTATAATCACAGTGTTCTGGTTTGTGAAAACATGGGACAAAGCCTTTCATATCACTCTGAAATTTCCTTTTCCACTAAACAAACATTATGGACACCTTCGTGTGTCATCTCGTGAAGTTCTGCTCTGTTATTTGTAGGGGTTGCAGCAGTCCACAAAATGAATGTATTATTGTTGATTTTATTAGTCCCGCATTTGTAGTGATTGAAGTTGTTTCCAACTTGGTTTTTTCAACGAATTCTATGGGAAACCTTCTTATACAGGTACCTTTACTGACTGTTTTTCTGAGGCACAGATGGCCATAGCTGTCAAGGGTCCATTAATACAAAGTTCCCACTGGACACTCCACCAGAAAGACCATGGTTTTTGTTATTCCAGTTCATTTGTTCCTTCCTTCCCTCGGAAAAGTGACAAAGCCCTCTATCTAAGCTATTGAAATGGCCAAAAAGAGTGTCAGGAATCATGTGATTCACTAGCCCCAGTGGACTGATGAACAGTGAGATTTCCAACCGCAGGGATGTGCCTTCACGAGTCTGTGTGGAGACTCCAAATAAGCACACAGCTGTTCATTCGAAGTAGGTGTGGAAATAAAACAATTTCCCTGCATGTAGGAAGGGAAAACTGTATTTTTCTCTCTACTATTTCAATGTCTTCAAAAATATAAGTTTAAATGTATAGACTGTGTGTAGAAACAAATGTAGGAATAAGTGTAAGACTGTATTTCTGGAAATGTCATACAAAGCAAGATATCTAGTTTTGTAGAATGAAATAATAACTTCATCTGTCTGTACTAACTCCTTAGTTTTTGCACTTCATGTTGAATAAAGATAGAACTTTCAGAAAAACACTCAATTGTGTCGTACGGTAAACACTGTGCCCACTTAACCCTCATATTGCTAACTATGGTTTGTTCAAGGTAAACTAAATACTTTAATTTTTTATTTATATTTAGAGGGGAAGGGAAGGAGAGAGAGAGAGAAACATCAATGTATGGTTGCCTCTCATGTGTCCCCTGCTGGGAACTGACCTGCAACCCAGGGATGTGCCCTGACTGGGAATCGAACCACAATCCTCTAGTTTGCAGGCCCATGTTCAATCCACTGAGCTGTACCAGCCAGGGCAAGTTTTTAATATTCTTAAAACGTAAATTTCTAGAAAAATATGACTTCAGAAACTGCCAAAAATAAGAAACTACTACTCATCAATGTCAGCACATATTTAAAAATCGAAATTTGAAACCCTACTATATACCATTTAATTAGAGAAACATATATTTGGATGAAATGCATTTTCATAATTACTTAGAAGCTTCCCTGCTCTGAACATGAGTCACAAGTTTTTACCATTTAAAGCTTCTCATGTTAAAAAAGTTGGAGACACACTTTCCAAAATACTGTCATTTTAGAACGAAAGGAAATGTTTTCTTGGTGGATAGAAGATTTAGCACAATCCTATCCCATTTGTCTTAATCTTCAAAGTACATTTATCCTATTAAAATTTTGTGATGAATATTAATGTGTAACATATTACCATGTTTACAAGTTAGTTATTTTGTATTTATAAAACACTGACTCAAAGACATTTTGGAAAACAAATTGGATTGTGCAATTACCGGTAAGAAGACATATACTGAGAATCATATGTAAATAAACTGAGTTTCCTACTGTCCCTTTCCCGCCCACAAACCCACAAGCAAAACGACAGTGCTGCTTATAATCTGTGTGAAGGATAGAGATGTTTTGCTAAGAGTCATTTCAATAATTATTTTAAAACTTTATTAGGCTGATTTGATGGTTATTGATATTTACTTACAATTAGAGGACAAAAATGTGTTAGAGAACAATGCTTTAATGATAAAAATCAATCTTATTTTGCCACTTATCTCTCCTTTGAAATTGTAAAAGATTAATATGCTCCAAATGTTCTCTGTTAGAATATACTGTACATGCCGGGTGATGATTACTAGCTCTTGTACTGTGAGCATTGCAAGGGGACTTTGGGGAATATGAACTTTTTGATCCTCATCATCTGTGTTTTTGGCATTGGAGCTGTTATGTATTTGGAAATTCCCTGACTCCCCAAATCCCTATGTAAGGGAGAAAGACCTTACATGTGGCACTACTTGGAACTGAGCTGAAATGTCACCCCTTTCCCAAGAACTATAATCTTTGTCATACAGTTCTAATTGAGAAAAAGTTAACTGCATCTTGATTTACAGTAAACTACTGTTGACCTGCTTTACTAAATATCTCATGGATCACTGCAAATGAATGTTAACATTAATTGAATGCAAATGCAACTTGTAGCACTCACTGGCTTTTTTAAAAAGCAAATTTGTTCTTTGGAGAGGAACTGTGCTATTAATCAGTTACTCTCATTGGCAGCTTCTTTAATAAGTAATTTTCTCAACGACCCAACAGATGCAAGTTCTGCCCACCACGTAGCTCCTATGGCCCACGTATTCTAAGTCTCGTTAAATGTGGAACGGGATCCTGAAACATCCCTTTGAAAGCAGGCACTACCAGCTCTCTATACCCTTTAGAGCATCTTCAAGCCTTCAATGGGGCACCCAGTAAGATGCTCTGTATTCCAGTAAGAAAACCAAAGAGGGGAACTCTGACCATATTGATCATTTTCGATAACTATCAAACAGAATTCTGAGTTCCTAAAAGCCAGCGGTTGATGTCATCTGAACCACTGTGATTTGCATGACTCCAGCCTGCAGTTACAATATTCTGGGACAGCATCAATCCAGGCCCTTCTTGCTCAAGTCTGCCATTGGAACAACTTCTGGGAGGGCAACCATACTCCTTCATTATCACAATCACAGAGCCCTGGGAATAAGTTTCCACAGTGCTATTCCCAAATCTTTTGAATGGTGTTCTTATTGGATTCATCGTGATAGGCCTTGAATATGCTTGACCATCTACACAGGCATGGATTTGCTTATATTTTTGCAAGAGTGGTTAATGTGAAATAGAAAGTGGCTAAATATAAACAACATTACTAAATAACATCTCTAGTACTACACACAGAAATCAGAACCACATTCATTTTCAGGTTCTGTACTAATCGTCTAAAACAAAAGGAACATACATAACAGAGATATATCTCAATTAAATGTACATATTTATCTTTTTTTATGTTATTATTGATTTCACATTAATTTGTGCTTTCTGTCTGTTTATGTTACTGTTTGCTTATGTTCCATGAGCCTCTTGACTGAAGAACGGTAGACGGAGTCAGGGATGGGCAGGATATGAAGGGAATAGAGGGAAAGCAGGACTGATAGATAAAAATTCCATGGTTTTAACAACTTTTCCAGGTGTAATCACTGACAGGCTAATAAAACAGTTTGCATTAATGCGAAAAATGGGTTTATAAATCAAATCCTTCACTTTTTGTGTGACTAGACATGATGGTTTTAAAGCAGTAACTCGCCATACACAGAAGCTCAGCTGCCCGCTGAGACCTGGCTGTAAATCAGGAGTCACCCCGTTTGGTTGCCAGTCGGCTGGCCGAGTCCGGGCTGTTTGCTGTTGAGCAGGGTGCTGCTATCACAGGGCCACAGCAGCCCAGGGGAGCAGAGAAGTCGAGAAGCCTGTGTTTTCCACTGTCCTGCATTTACTTTGAATCTGCCTGCTTGGATATACAAAGTGGAAAAGTGTGGTAGGTGGAAAAGAGGGGAATTTAGCAGTTACTGTGTTGATCAGCTTGGCAGTTTTTATTTCTGTGTTTAATTGGAACTAACAGAATTAAATAAAGGTAAGTAACCAAGAATTCAGTGGAAGGTCCTTCGATGATAGCTACTGCTCTCATGACCTTGTCACAGCCACACTTCAGTAACAGAAAAACAATAAAACCAAACCAAAAAATGACAATAAAGAACATGGGTTGGGGGCATGAGAGAGTACTATGACGGCGGAATGCTGGTTGGTGCCTGGGGCTTGGAGGGAGGGAGGGAGGGCTGAACAGGTAGAACAGGGGGTTTGGGGGACTGTGAGATATTCTATATGGTACTGTAATTGTACATTTGTCAAGATCCATGCAATGTGCAACCAAAAGATCATAATGGAAAGTATGGGTTTTAGTTAGGAATGAGTTGATACTGGCTCATCACTTGTAATGAACATATGGCCCTAATGCAAGACGCTAATAATAAGGGCTACCGGGGAGGGGGTTGGGGGGTTAAATAGGAACGTTATACTTTCTGCTCAGTGTTTCTGTAACACTAAAACTGCTAAAACATTCTATTAATAATTAAAAAAAGAACTGATAGATTTAGTCTAATAACATGAACATTTATTAAATACCATCATCGATGTGTTTTGGTTGGACTTGACATTAAGCGTCACAACATTTCTGATGTAATAGTTCCCACTTTCGGGTGACCTCACAGACACAACCTCAGTGCAGAGGGTGTACTGATGGATCTTCCCAGTCACGTGCTCTTTGCTGTGATTTCTGCCTGTCAGTCAGCAAACCACGGGGATGCTGGTTATTGTGTTTTAGGGGGCACAGAGCAGACAGACCACTGGCAGACTCACTCTATAGCACAGTGAGCTTCCTTTTAGAAAAACCGTGCTTCAGGGTCTGCAATCTCTTACCTGAGATCAATGGTGAATTGATTCACATCAACAGGCATTCATTGGATGGTGTTACATGAAAATGGAGAATAGATGTATGAATTAAGATTGCAACCCAATTAAATTATCCCTGTCTATTCATTGCCCCCAGAATGGGCTAATTCTTTTAGGAAACCCTTAGGGATGTTGACAATGATGACCAAGTAACTAACCAATACAATTACCACCTGATAAATTAACTTCCGTGCGTTCCTCTCTCACCTGTGACATTTTACTCTCCTCCTCATATGCAATTAGATGGCCCTCCCTGTAGTGCGCTGTCACAGAGTAAGCATGACTGTTCTGTCAATGTATTTATACAGTGGGATACTGCACAGCTACTTCATGAACAAACTGGACCTACAGACGTCAATATGACTAAACCATACTGCTGAGAGAAAAAGGCAAGGTCGCCATTGTAACATAAAAAATGCTGGTCGCTCAAAGCTGTACTACACAATCTCTTGTGGCGTGTTAACACATCTGTATTCCATAAAACTAGAAGAGCATGGATGAAAATAATACAATTTCTGGTAGTGATTACTTCCGGCACTGGAGGATTAAGAATGGTGACTTGGACCAGACTGACAGTTGTCAGAGGGGAGGGGGCCAGTGGGGGCCGGGTAGGAGAAGGTGCAGGGATTAGCCTGAGAACGTCTATGTATCACCCCTGGACTCGGACATGAGTGCGGGGAGGGCCAGAGGGGGCGGCAACGGTGAGGAGGAAGGGCACAAAAGGGGTAGGGGTGTCTGTAATAGTGTCAACAATAAAAGTAAAAAGAAAAAGAATGGTGACTTGGTCCTTTGGGTTGTATTGTAAGTAAACATGGAAAAAATGGTAAATTCTGACTTGGGGCAGACAGATATGTCATTTTTGCTTTTGTTGTCTTTTAACAAATGCTTGAAGTTTTCTAATTGAACCAGGCTAACAATGCAAGAATGACTGCAACTGCAAAGAAATGAACTGACTGAAAATACAGTCTGAATCTCCGAAATGAGCATTGTAGTCCCGTGATGGTGGAGAAAGTTACTTAACCCCGATGATTCGGGTTCTCAGATGTCTTTTGGAATCAATCTCTGTTCTCGTTTCTTCTCCTTCTTCCACAAACACACTCTCCCTCTCTGCCAAGCACGTGGGAGATTATCAGTCAAGGGCAATGTTATCTTTATTTTGTGTCCTTTGGCTAACAGAGTCATTCTGGAGCTTTTTCTAATAGCTGGTCACCTTCCATTCCTCTGTCTCGGCACTCTGGTTGGCTCTTGTACTAGCTTCTGAATTTTGTAATATTTCTCTCTCTCAGTTTTTAGTCCTCATTTTTTTCTAATAACTCTTTCTCAGTCCCCTGCACAGACAATTGTTTCTCTAACACTTTTCTTAATATTGATGCTTCCCCTGGTCCCATTTTCTCTGCTTACTTCCTCTATGTTCCTTGGTTGGGTTCATCCCTTCCAATTGCTCTCACTATCAGTTATACGCTCCTAGCTACCAAATGAGCGAACACCTCCCGCCCCCATTCTCCCAGCCCCACATCCAACTGCCTGCTGAACGGCCACTTTCATTTCTTACAGACACTCAAACTACACGTGAAAAACTAAATCCTTTCCAAACTCCTATTCCTGTCCTTTTAATATTATCAATGTACCTTCTCCTTCCTTGTTATCCTAATATGTCGATCCCAAGGTCTCCAGTGTCTTTCCGCGTAAGGATTTGTCTACTTTAAAACTATATGTATATTTATTACACACACATAGATATGTGTGCACTGGCTTGAAATATAAAATGCATTTCTGATGGTAGTTAGTGGCAAAAAAAAAAACCTACACTGAAAAACACAGAGACAAGGAGAGGAGTCAGATGTCAATCTTAGCGGGAAGAGTGCATCTGCCCTGTATGAGAATCTCTTAGATACGAGACATTGTGCTCAGCACTAGACAAGCATTCAATTCTCTTTACATCCTGACACTTTCTGTAGAAGTAAGTTGAGGTTCAGAGACCTGAAATACCCGATCTCTAAGGGCTCATTGGTGGTGGTGGACCTGAATTCAAGTCTAGACCCGGCTTCTTCTAAGGCCCAGGGTCTTTTTACTCTTGTTTGTCTCTTCATGCCTCAAACCGTGTGCAGTAAAGTGAATGGGAAACAATGGAAACATGAGTGAAATACGCAAGTGCTGGAATACGTAAAGATAAATGAGTTGTTTTATTTAAAGAGCAACGTCTGATCAGTGAGCGTATTGTTTAGCCCCCAAATCTTCTTCATCTATGAAATAAGGCTGCTACTACCACTACTAATTTCATGGATCATGTTTGTGGTTATTATATGAGACAATATATTTAAAGCATAGTAATGGCTCAATTACTTTTCGGTGTAATTAGCTGGATGTCGTGGAGAACACCAACCTCCCTGAAACACTCTCATAGTCCAGTTGTACCTGCCACATTTACAGACCCTGTAAATCTGTGCAAGGTCAAGGTAAATGCAGAAAGTGCTATGCGGATTCAAGAAGCAAAGGTGGCCATGGCATCTGGACAAGATGAATGCAGGAGAAAGACCTTGACCTGAACTTCAAGAAATAGTTCAGGCTTTGGAAAGGCAGGAAAGACAGGACCAGGGCCAGCGTGGAAATGGGACACAGCGCAGGAAATGAGCCTGACTTTGTGAAACACAGGCTGGGGAAAGAGGGGAGAACAAAAGCAGAAAAGATGCCAGAACAAGGAGGTGAGGACTCTCTGCTCCCTTCTTTGAGAAAGCTGCAAGTCACTGCCAGTTTCTGGTCAGAAGAATGAAGTGATGCCTTGGGAAGCTGACTTGTGACCTTGCGCAGGAGAAGGAGAAACGTCTGGTACAAGGAGACCAGAACTGAGACCACTGCATCAGAGATGCGTGCAGAATGGAGGGGCCCAGGAGGGCAGCGACGGAAGTGAGCACCGGCCGAGCAGACAGTGCTCCCTCCCTCCCAAATCATCGAGTGACTGAAGGCAAGGGAGCGATTCACACCAGCTCTAAGGACCAGAAATAATTCATGACAACTGTGTGAACTCAAGGTTTCAAAGCACATGAGCAAACGCTGTGAAGAATAACAGACTAAAGGGATTGAAGAAATCTTCAATTTTGCACCCGTTATAGCTGCCATACTTATCCAGCAAAATAAGGTAGATTTAGGTAAAATCGTGTAAGTTGACAATACGGTCAAGTCTTGACGGGCACAGACAATGACTAGATTCTCTGGAGGGGATGCGCTGTGGAGGGGGACTGGCGAATAGTCCCCTCTGCGCCCCACGGCTGCATGCCCACTCAGGGCCGCAGGCCACAGCCATCTCTGCTTGCATCAGCACCCACGTCTTCGCTGACGCCTGCAACTCTGCCTTCTTGGTTCACGGAGAACAGAGCTCTGTCACTCCCATTAGGCTCCCCTCTCATTTTTCCTGAAGTCCCTGGAGAGAGAGGGCTCTGATCTGCCTAAGCAAAGCAGCACAGAGACTCAGTGGGGGGGGGGGGACTGCCATTCATGTGTCCCATTTATTCCCAGGTCCCCTAGAATGCAAGATTTTTTTTAAACTTGCCCTTCAATTCGCCTGCATGCTCCTTATGCACCAGGCGCCCTAAAGAACAAAGAGGGGCCTGCTCGTCTGGGGATGGGAAGCAGGGCATCGCTCCATCTCAGGTGGCAATGCACAACGGTCCCTCGCGAACTACTGGCAGGGTCGGCCCTCCAGACCCTATCCAGGTCCTTCCCTCTGATGAAACGAAGCCTAGGCTACCACTTACCAAATGAAAAAACGGTGAGCAAATCTGAGTAACATGTGTTCCTTTGAATGTTATTTTGAAGTAAGAGTAAAAGGAAGTTGTTTGAAGTAATTAATGAATATTCGATCCCTGCTGAAATAAAAATATGAATAGATACATAGAGAAGAAATCACTGAGATTGAAGAAAAGCATCTATCAGATGCTGATAGATGTAAAATAATTTATTTACATTTATTTTTTGTTTTGGGCCAAAACCTTCTTAAAACTTAAATGATTTTGGCTTTAACCTCACTTACGAGTTGGCATGCCTGATTTTATGAGCGTTGCACCTAAATCACCAAGAGTATGGATGTTGGATGGGTGTGTGTGATTCCATAGAAATACTACTTTTATTTTGTGAACTGCCGTGTCTGTATGGTGTGCTTCCCTGTTTCTTTAACACCGTTTTCCTGGCGTGCTATTAAATCTGTCTTCCTCTGTGTCTGAGGCAACGTACATTATCGCAGACTTCACAAAGCTCCTTTGCATAAACTGCGTTACACGGACAGCATTTTGTATCGGCTCATACTCACTGCGGCAGCATCGCCGGCAGGGACCGTCGGATGATGGAGTGGACTTGTCTGTACGCGTCCAGCTTAGACATGCAGCGGCAGGAAGTGTGATTGGCAAAACTGACCGTTATCGGTTTGGGGCCTTGAGAGAGAGGCACCGTGATTTCAAACAACTACAAAGAAGGGACAGAAAGAAGAAAACATTATATGGATGCTGTACAGCATTTTATGGTAAATGCTGGAGTCCAAAAGGAGAGGAACTTTTTATGATTAGGCAGAGTGCTGCCTACTACACGCAGGATATAAGTTTTATGTTCACGACCCCAAAACTCTTTTGCTTCTAATCGATATCCTTTATCACTTAATCAACAGTCCATATGCTTATCCTATGTCACTGGTATAAAACACTTTAGAATTCTGATAACCCACTAAGGATTCTAGAGCAGAGCTATGTTAGCAGACCAAGGTTTTCAAGGAAAAAGAATTATTTCAGAGTCTTAGGTTATTTCAGGGGCTGAAAAAGTGGCCCTGCTATACATTTCTTTGTGATCTAAGAGCACAGCTAGAAATGTTTCGCTAAGTCTTGTCACACATAAACTGAATACACACAGATGTAAAATCGGTTTTCATTCCAAATTACGTCTGTACCTCGGAGCACTTTTACACATATTTGTGATCTCTTCTAAGTTCATTATGTTAAAAGGAAAAAAAGCCACATCTACCATTGACTAGATAAAGCTTTGTTTCTGCCATGTTGACAAAGGTATTAGGAAAGTAATAAGCTTAACATAAGGTAGGAAATTTTACATGACTGTGTGTTAGCGTCTCAAAAGTTAGATTAACCAAAGTCTCATTCTGAATGTCTTCTTTGTGGAGAATTTCAGTTCTCTTCCTTCTACAGAAGAAACAAGGCTTTAAACCATGTAAATTGAAAGTGTAATTTAAGTGTACCAATGAGTTGTCAAGTAAACCTGAGTGGATTTAAATTCCCAAGGCTCTCGAAATCTAAATCATGATCAGTAACAATGGCGAAAATGGGACCCTGGCCAGTGGCTTCTTGCTGAGATCAGTCTGTAGTACTGTCCCCACAGTCGAACCACGTGTGTTGTTGGCTACTTTTAGGGCGATTGGAGCGGTGCAGAAGACATGACACACTCCAGAGCCTCGGGATCTGGCATCTTGCTGCAATGTCATACCAACAGTGGGAGATCATTGAAAACATTTAGGGAGCATAGTCACTTATCATGCTGTCCATGCTACAGAGAGACTTACGGAAATGAGGCTGAAGAAAGAAATACAGAAATCTCTAAATTATAAAATGTGGATTTTATTCCACCTGAAATGTATACATTTCAAACTCCAGCTGCTTTCATAGCCTCGGTGCCTTAGGAGGGATGGACACAAGGTCACACCCAGACAGGAGGACACTTTGATTAGCAACCCCACTTAGAGGTTGTGTGACCTTGAAAAGTCATTTAACTTCTCAAAGCTGAAGATGATATTTGACCCCAGATTTCATGAGACTGTTATAAAAACTACATAAGCTAATACATATGAATGTGATATACATAGTGATCACTGTCTGGATGTGGGTTTTTAAGTTGTTTGCATGTATTCTCTGGATTCCAGCTATCCTCCAGAATACTCCATTCTCCATACATAATTTCAACACATGACCTTGACGTATCCCAGCATTATGATTTTGACCAGATTTTTTTCTAAAAGGCATTTGTTTATGCAGTTTGGATAAGAACTTTTGCTAGGTGAAAGGTCACATTGGCAGAAGCCCTTTACACTGTGCATAACTATTTTAAGAAAGATAATTCTGCAGTGCCCATAGAAAGTACCCCGGCGGACCCTACACGAATAACCAGAGTTACAAAACAAATAGGAAGTGGCTTAGAAAACAAGCCATTTCTCATATGTTCCATATTTAACTTTTGCAAATGACTTGAGCTCTGTGACAGTGGGGAACAGTAGAAAGATGCAGAGCCCAGCTCACAAAAGCCTAGATTTTTTGTCTACTATGCGGGTAGGTGCATGTGCCTGGAGCTTAGAAGAGCCATTTAAAAATCATCCATACTAACGTTGTGATTGAAGTCTCAGGCATTGACAAGATGACCTGGTGAGATCATAAAATCTCTGGTCATAGGAACCCGGGGCCGGGAACATTTAAGGGGTGAAGGGAGGCCAATGAGCTGTTAAGTACACCTGGGAAGGTGTGGGCAGGCAGAGAATCAGGCTGGCGGAGACGTTAAACCCAGGGAAGGCAAAGAATGACAGGAAAGCTTCAGAAAGTTGCCTGTGGTCACAGGGGCCAGGGTCTCAGGGACACCAAGTACAGAAGGCCAGAGTGGAGACAATTGGGCACCAGGGACAGCTCTAAGGATGAGGCCAGGACAAGGCCTGTGAGGACAAGAGCCCCACGGCAGTGGAGGGGCCGGAGAAGCCCCAGGTGACTGAAGAGAAAGGGCTCCGATGGCTCTGGCCGCAGGGGACACTTGCGTAGCAGGTCAGTAATCCTTGCAGGATTTGTCAATGTCTCCAGTGACACAAGGCAGAACAGAGATTGAGAGGGAAGGATAAGGCCTGTTTGAGATAAGGGCTATTGCGGAGGAGCGAAGGATGTTTCCCCAGCCCTAAGGGTGGCCATTCCAGACCCCATCTGGCCTGTGTCCCCAAACAAGAGCTCAGCTCTTGCCTCAGTGACTGGCGACTCTGCTGACTCCCAGGACACCTGTCCACAGTCAGGACCCACCTGCGAGTACCAAGTGTGTATTGGGACCTGGGGCTGGGAAGAACATTCCAGTGAAATGAAGGTCAGTTAGATGCCCATGAAGAAAGTATCTTCCTAGAAAAATAAGCCTGGCTCGATACTTTCAAGGAGAAGAGATTTGTGTTGGCAGACACACTACTGAAAGGATAAAGGGGGAGGTAAGGAGGGATTTTAAAAAATAATCACTGTTCAGAGAAGTGTTTTATTTTCTGTAACTTGAAAAAATCATAAGGCTGAAAACTACTGTAAAGCTTGGAAGAAAAAATACCCATAGTTTAGCTAATTAAATAAAATAAAAAACCTTAACAATTGGTGTTTCATTTCTCTTGTTTGAGTGTAAAGAAGCAATTGATCATCTGGATTCAGTTAATTCTATCAAAAGGAATAAACAGGTCCAAACACTAAAGCAAAGACAAATTTTTCTCGACACATTTCTACCTCCAACTTTTTACCTGAATGTTTCAGGGGGTTTCTTTAATTCTCTACATGCCACCGCGAGGAAAAGACAGAAGGGTCCAGAGAAAGATGTCTGTGACTGGTACTAAAAGTAGGGAAACTCTTAATGATGGAGTTTGATGTGTGTGTCCATTTCAGAAAAATCGGGGACCTCTGAGAGTGCCCTGTGGGTGCAGGGCGTCACTGCCAGCAAAGGACCTCTGCCGTCTTCCAAACTCTTCTGTGCTTCCACTCATGCACTGATGGACAGTTTTCATTTCGAGTGATTACATAATCACTACTTGTACAACAAGTACAGTAAATTCTGTTTTCTTTACTGAACCAGTGTGGATTTTATGTAGGTATATTTAATGCCTATGCTACTAAGAATGGCTGTATGCCTTTTTTCCTAATCAGATCATATGTCTTAAAAATGTAAACTTCTCTGAACTGAAAATATTAATAACTAGAATCACATTATCAACTCATGTCTCCCTCCTAAAATAAATCCATATATTTTAAAAATAACTGGCAAATTCCCTTCTCCACTAGAGATATAAGAATAACCAAGGGGATAATCTCAAAAACAGGCAGACATTAGCTGGAGTCCTGAATTTTCGATTCAGTACTCCCATGACTTGGAAAAATCATCCAACTTCCCTTGGCCACCACTGCATTATAAAACAGGGACAATAATATGGTGATTTCATAATAGGGCTGCGTGGATGCCCCTTGTCGTCCCCATTTGCCTTCAAGATTGAGTTGAATCTTTGGCAGGTGAATTACAAATTTAAAATTTTCTGTTTAACATTGTTCCTCATCTGGTTTTCAATAACTGCTTATTGAGAACCTAGAAGAAGCCGCATGGTGGGTGCCTTGCTCAACTGTCAAGAAAACAGTCATCAATCAATCTACGCAACTCACAGGGGAGCAGAACTAACAATGGGGCTGAACTAGAAAACACTTCGACAGGCTATGATGCTGTGTTAGAATTTTCAAAACACCCACTAGTTTACCACAAATGCTGTTAGTGAGCAAGAACCCGCGGTTTCACCCTCTTTTGGAAATCTGTGCTTGCTGTTACATGAAGAGCTGAATCCACACAGTTTCTATAATTTTCTCTAGAAGAGTCAAGGTCTGTTGAGGCTGTAATAGATTCTTTACATTTGAATAAAATGAGAATGCTCACACTACTTTCAGACTATTTGGGGCTTTAATGTGTATATGATAGTATTTTCTAATTCAGATTTATGCTCACTGAATGCCAAATTCACGTACTCAGCATTTGTTGGCACTGTGTACAGATGTTTGCTCAGTCAACACGGACTGACGGTGACAATCAGAATTTGACATTTAGAACATGACACTTTTCCTAAAATAGTTTTATGCAATAAAGTGAATTGTTCTTAAGATATTAACTCGTATCTAATTTAGGGTTTCAATAATTGTAAAATTCATTATGGAGACTTATGCTAGTTTATCAATGTATGCCTATTTAATGAGTTGCTAGTTTTAATGATCAAAAGAACTTACATAAAGCGCACATTTAAACAGGCTGGAAAATTAAAAAACAAAACCCCAAAAAACCTGTGTTTTCTGCAAAACTGTAATTTAAAAAGGAAGTGGTAATCATTTCCAACTGAGAGTTTCCCTGTTGCTGTCAACTGGAATTTTTAATAAGAATATTTAAGAGTTAATTCTCATCAACAAGAATGAACTTCAAATAAAGCCACTTTTTGAAACAATAGGTTGTTTACCCAGCATAGCAACAGTTGTAAAGCAACAATTCCTATTTCTACTTATTTTGCAGGCTACTCAAGAAAAAAGGCACAGAACTTCCTTACCCAGAAGATCCTGGATTAACTACACATGAACAGGCACCCGAAAACTGCCTCCCTTTACACTTCCACACCCCAAAATAGAACCAGTGTCTCTTCAAAGCATGGTGTCTCACAACCATATTCAATTTAAATATTCCAACCTAGAGGCTATTCAATAGGTATGGGAGGAATCTGTAGCCCCTGGACTGTGTGATTAATAATGGCAAAATCAGACAGAAACACTACACAGTAATTTAAAAAAATAACCCCCCACCCCCAAATGGGGAAAAGTGAAAACTGAGCATTACTTTTTGCATTTTATTTTTTGCTCAACTGAGCATATCATTCATGTAGCCGACTATCTATGGAGATTGATTTGGTCTGGGAAGAAAATGGGAGGGCAGACTCTGTGATAGATTTACATCTGGCCCTGCATCAATTTTAAGATATTATTATACATAAAATGTATGTTCGGTGCTACTGTTTTAACAAAAATGCCATCTAGGTTTAGAAATACTGCATAAAACTTGGGGAGACAATCAGTACTTTGAATTGAAAAAAAAGTGCTACTCTTAATAGATGCATTGATTTTTTTTCTTAAGGCAAATGTGACTCCCAAAGAAACTTTTGGTTGGCTGTTATTGGTACAGAGTTCTGTTTTCCCCATCTGGATGAAACCTGATTTTCAACAAGTGTGCATGCCAAATATTAATTAGCAGAAGATTCAAAACAAACCCATTCCACTTGTTGAATACATATGAGTGTAATAAGCTAATTTTTCAGACTGCCACAGTGTTCTGGCTCATCAGTGGAAGGACCATCTCTATCTGTAGTGCAAAACAGTACCTTTAAGTTTCAGTCCGTAATTGCACATTGTACTTAGGTCGAAAAGATTTTGCTGTCAAAGAAAATTCTATGAAAAACCCAGCTTAACTCAAATATAATCTGGAATGCTTTTGTGCTTTTATTATTTCTTTATAACATAATTTTAAAAAGAGAATAGTCCTTCTCTTGAAGATCATAGCACAGAATTGCAACTGATCCTGTTCAAGCATTTCAGAGTGAGCCAGAGACCAGACTCCCGGTGGAGCTGCCTTCCTTATTGCCTTGGATGCACACAGCAAGGAGATTCCAGTGCCCACGAAAGCCCCGGGGATTCAGAAGTTCTTTTTCATTCCTTTCTTCAGGGAAAATACATAAGGTAAATACTAACACTTGTCTAACTTCTCAATCCAACTATCTGGCTCAGAAGCAATGCTACGTCCATCATCAAATAATGGACCTTCTGCAAAATCCCCTTTCTACTCTTTGGTTCTATCTCTTAAATATACAACTGCTCATAAGAAAACATACTGAAAGGATATGTTTATGGAAGAGGTCACAAAACCACCCAATCAACCGAAGTGTTCGGCGGCACTGGGTCTGAGTGTGGGGTAGGTTGTCGCAGAGCAGGTGCTATTGATTAGGTCACTGGAATGCAGGGTGCAGATGGTTCCACTTTGCAACTAACCAGGCTCCTCACACACTGATAACACGTCCTCCGTGAAGCCCAGAGAGGAACGCCTAGGAAGTTTCCACAGAACACATGGGTGTTACTTGACTCAGGGTCCTTTGCCCTTATAACATGGATGATTCCAATGGGTGACTTTTGTTGCTAAATGATGTGTCTGGAACTCCTTTAAACAAAACAAAAACTCTGTTTCCTTAAAAAATAGAGCAGTTAAGAAACTTCCTTTTATGTTTGAAAGAAATTGCCTCGCATTCCCATTGATACTACATTGAAAATATCATATAATAAACTCGGGAAGAGGTGTTCCTCGAGCGCAAGCTTCTAGAAGCTGCCGTATTAGTAAAAATGGTTGATGCAAGCACACGCTGCCTTCAGGAGTCTCACACCTGGCTCTCCCTGGGTGTGTAAGTGTCCTTGACGTGCATTCCACAGACCCTTGCTCTTCTCCTCCAACACTCGGCCTGCTCTTGTTGCTGGCTCAGCTCACTCAACCGCAAGCTCCACTCATTTAAGCCCCACATGCCCCTGTGGGCCCATTGCACACAGTGTGGGCCCATTGCACACAGTGGGGGTCTCACCACACTCGCACAATTCAATTCAAGTTAAAAGTGCCCCTTTTACTGCGGGAGAAAGTCTGAGTGGATTCTTCAGGAGGGGGAAGGGCACGAAATTACAAAATCAAAAGACTATCAATCACCGAATCCCAGCTTTCCCTCTTCTCTCCTGATCCATCAATTTTCTAAGTAGTGCCAAGCACACCAGGGCTTCCAACCACCTTTATCAATATGATGTGTCCTTCCAAATCTGCAGCTAATGGCCCAGTCACTGCTGCGGAGTTCTAGAATGATATGCCCAGGCTTTTCTGATTGCTCCACCTACATACCACTCAGATTCTTCAAAATCAGTATCTGCAATGCTCTAACTTTGTCCTCAGCTCTGTTCTCTTTAAGTCTCCATTCTGCTAGTGCCAAGCATTTGCCTTCGGTGTGCCAACTACTGTGCTATACGTCCCCGGGAGCTAACCCAACATAAGCTTTGCTTTCGTGGAGTTTACGGCCTGGGGAGTAAAACCATCTGAGAGATAAGGTAATGATGCTGCAACATAAGCAGAAAGGGAGCTATCACAGACCAGAAGTGACGTTTACGTCTCGACCTGCGCAAGAGTAGCAATTAGCTAGATAAGCGGAGCCAAGGGGATGGTGTGCGGGGAAGTGTTTCAAACACAGGGCACAGTATTGTAATGACTGGGAGATAAGAGATATTGACACAATTTAAAGAATAACACAATTTGGTGCTGGTGGAAAGTAGTATTTGAGAGGAAAAAGCAGTGGCTACTGAGGCTACAGACATAGGTAGCAGCCAGATCATGAAGGCCCTGGGAACCCTGTGAAAGGATTTAAACTACGGAAGAATGTCATTCAAAATATTTAAAAACTTAGGATGTTTATGCCATCCAATCAGAACTGATGCTAGTCTGAGCCATCCAATCAGAAAAGAATGGATATCAACATGCCAGCTGAGTGTTGGCTCAGTCCCAAGAATGCAATGTTCCTGAAGAGTTTTGAGCAGTATCTGATGTATCACTGAGGAAAGAAAAGTCAACAACTATCAACAACTGAACCTTTAAAAAAAGGAAAAACAAAAGCAAACTTAGCAAACAACTAGAACATGAACAGAATCACAGAACTGGAGATCACAGGGAGGGTTATCAGTGGGGAGGGGGAGGGGGAGATCAGGGGAAAAGGTATAGGGAATAAGTAGCATAAATGGTAGTTAGAAAACAGACAGGGAAAGGTTAAGAATAGTATGGAGAAGCCAAGGAACTTATATGTACAGCCCATGGGCATGAACTAAAGTCAGGAATGCAGGTTGGAGGGGGTGTGCACAGTGGAGGGGAATAAAGGGGAAAAATGGGATAACTGTAATAGCATAATCAATAAAATATATTTAAAAAAGTAACTTATTGCCAAATGAAAATCTTTGTCCTCAAAGATCAACATGTGTGTGTATGGGTATGCATGCATGTATTTGTGTGCATGCAAATGCACACACATTCCTATGCATATTTTTTCTTTTCTTCACTTGGCTTTGACACCATGGTGTGAGTTGATTGAGCACCAGTTACTTTGTGATACCACATCATCCAAACCACAAAACATGGGAAAGTGAGCTCCATCCCCAAAGAGAACACCAGACGCTCCGAACTGCACGAAGGTCCTGTAAGGGGCCCACAGTTTAAAAAGATGCTGGGAAGGGCAGGGTGGGGCCGTGGGCTGTGGGCGGAGACACCTACCGTCTTGCTGAGGTAGCCTGTGCTGGTGTTCATGCACTGATGCCCCTCGCTGTTGCAGCAGCCCCCACATCTGTAGACGGACACACATGGAGGTTTAAAGAAGGTGTTTGTGGCTGCTCCAAACTCCTTCCCCACATCTACACACACCTCACGCGGCATGCATTGAGTCTTTCTCCACTCATAATCAATACCTGTCGAGTCACAGGGAAGGCCAGAGGTTACACAGAAGCCACCACGGCGGAAACAGCCCACAGCAGTTGGACGTCACTTACATTTGATTTCAGAGTTGAAGATCGACATTGCAGAGGTAACTTTAAAGAAATAACTGACGGTATCCTAAATGGCCCTGTGAACTGGTGTCCACTATCGTACGCCACAGAGCAGCTAAGAATGTGTTTCTCAAATTTCTACAGCCATGTGTCAAGCAGAATTAGGATTATGCTTCCTTAAAATAACATGAACATTCCCCAGCACTTATGTTTGGTTTTCTCCATTGAAGAGAACACAAACTTAACATGGAGATGTTGCCAAGATTTGCATGGACAGTCACACTCATTTGCTGTAATATGCACTGTTTTCATGGTCTCAAAGCAAATAGGAACATGATTTGACTTTTCTTTTTCAACGGAGGTGTAAATGAGAACATGGCTATGGGTTCGGGCTCAATTCAAACATCAGTTTCAGGTGGGCTATTTGGCAATTTTGGGTAATGTCAAGGTTAGTGGTAGCTACTTGAAATACATGGGTATTTTCCATCAACTGGAACATGCATTCCAAAATACATTTTTTTCAGAAAAGTCAAATTTTCCTGTTCCTTTCATGCTTTTTCTCAAAAATTTGCTTCCAATGACTTAGTGGTTTACTCACAGCACCATTGACTCTTTACTGGATTACAAATGATGTACATCTTAAATGCTCTAGTCTATTGTCCCATATTTCCCCTAAAATAAAATCCTATGGGGAAAAGGACCAACTTTTCATTATTGAACCAGGAAGCCATTTTGTTTGACTGGCTTTGTTCTGAAAATCCTTTGTAATCTTAAACATTTATAAAAACTAATATCTAATAATTGAGGGGAATTACTTTTCAAAAGTAATCTACCAATTTATACTATGCCAATTTGTGCAACACCATAATTTTTTGTGACACTTTTTGCTGAATCTCTCAGAGACTTTACCAAAGTTCGCTCTCAAGCCTATTACCTGTGAACCAATCAGGCAACAAGTAGTACTTGAAAAGATGAGTTGGAATGATTTAGAAATTAAGCATTTATAAATTATTTTGCAAGATATAGAATGCTTGCATGATTAATCTCACAGTATAAAATATATCTACATGTTTTAAAATTTTGCAATGACATTTCACCAAATTAAAAAAAAAATTAAAGTGCACTGAGAGGCACTCTCCTCTCTTTTTAAGTATTTCAGAAAATTATCTCAACCACTCACAGTGAAATCATAAAATGCTATATTTGAAAAACAATATTTACCTTTGTCCCCAAACTATTCAGTGGTACAAATACTGAAATCAGAGGCCAAGGCTGATAATCTACACTGGGTTGATGTATCTATAACCCTTTTTAGATACGTATTTCCCCATTCTTACTTTTCAAGATCTCTGTGTTATAATGTGCGGCAGCAAATTTTATAGTGTCTTCTGTCCTGGTACTGATGTTGGGCTGTTCTTCATCCTGTTGCCAGCCTCCTCTGCGTAACTGACACTTGTACATTTTCCAATACTCTGGGTAGAGCACAGTCATGAGTTCGTCCACACTGGACACCTCCCGCAGCTGCTCCTCCAGATCTCTACCTGCATAAGCCTGTCGAAGAAACGTACAAGGTCAAGTACTTATCGGATTGAAAGACTTGTACACAGGGCCACTGAAAGACTTGTAGGTTCAATATTATATGTGCTGGATCCACAGTAACATATTCTGAATCACCCCTGAATCATATAAAATTTCATGGCAATCTATTCATTAATACATTAGCTTGAATCATTACCACAATCTAAATTAAAATCCTTCCATTAAAATACATATTTTGTTTTTAAGACAAGAAGTTTGTGATATAATTTTAACAATAATTTTTGAAGTAGCTTGCTTTATTTATAGTTATTTTACATAAATGGAAAGTTTATAAGTTTGAGCATTTATTCAAGCTTGTGTTACCTTCCAATAGAAATAAAGTTAAACTGAACTCCATTCTCACGCTTTGCTTCATTTACGGTTACCAGCATCAATAAAATATAATTAAGCAGGATGCTTGAAATTAGAAATCAATGTTACAGAAGGTATTTTAGAATTGATAATCTCATGAAAAATGGAATGTCAACAACAGTATCACAAAAAGGTTTATATATTGGCAGAATCTCCAGTGTTTCCCAAAAAATTGATCATCAAGATTTATTCTGGTATGAAAAAGACATGGTATGATCAGAATTCTGCTTACAAATAGTTAATTGTCTGTATTAGTGCATCCAATTGAGTGGAACATCCCATATTATATTCAAGTAGCTACTATACCCAAGAAAAATACATCTTTAAAATCATGCTTTGAAATTATGGAAAAATGATACATTGTTTAACTTTATCTGCAGAGTGAAATACAACATGGCCTGTTTGTTTTGTAGTGACATGACTGCCCCAACCCCAGAGTCCAGTATATAATACACTAAACATTGGACATCGGAGCTGTTAACAGTGCAGGTACCTGCCTTCCACATCCCTCAGCCAAGCATCTTGGATGGAGAAACTACATTCAAGAAGGTATAGTTTTCCCTTTCTAATTTTTGAAGAACAAAATTAATAACTTTGCTTTAAAAATAAAAATAATATTTAATTAGAAGACTTTCCACCACTGTTATTTATTTATTTATTTTTAGTAGATTTTACTGATTATGCTATTACAGTTGTTGTAATTTTTCCCCCTCTACCTCCCTCCACCTGGTACCCTCATTCCCTCCACCAATTCCTCCCCTTAGTTCATGTCCATGGGTCATGCATGTAAGTTCTTTGGCTCCTCTATTTCCTATAATTTTCTTAACATTTTCCTGTCTGTTTTATACCTACAATTATAATCCCTACCGGGATTAAGAAGCATAATTGGTAGGTATAAAACAGCCAGGGGAATGTTAAGAAAATTATAGGAAAGCTTCTTAATCCTGGTTCTTTTTCCCTCATTCTTCCCCTCCCTGCTTTCAGCTAATAACTCTCAAAAAGATCTCCATATCTATGATTCTGTCCCTATTCTGGTTGTTTGCTTTGGTTTTTTTTTTTAGATTCAGTTGTTGATAGGTGTGAGTTTGTTGCCATTTTAATGTTTCTCATTTTGATCTTCTTCTTTTTCTTAAATAAGTCCCTATAACATTTCATGTGATAATGGCTTGGTGATGATGAACTCTTTTAGTTTTATCTTGCCTGGGAAGCACTTTACCTGCCCTTCCACTCTAAATGGCAGCTTTGATAGGTAGAATAATCAAGGCTGTAGGTCCTTTTCATCACTTTAAATACTTGATTCCAGTCACATCTTGCCTGCAAAGTTTCTTTTGAGAAATCAGCTGACAGTCTTATGGGTACTATTCTGTAGTTAACTCTCTGCTTCTCTCTTGCTTTTAAGATTCTCTCCTTATCTTTAACTTTTGGGATTTTAATTATCATATGTCTTGGTGTGGTCCTCTTTGGATCCAACTTGTTTGGGGATCTCTGAGCTTCCTGGACTTGTATGTCTATTTCCTTAACCAAATTGGGGAAGTTTTCTTTCATTACTTTTTCAAATCAGTTTTTTATTTCTTGCTCTTCTCTTCTCCTTCTGGCACCCCTGTGACTCAGATGTGGGCACTTTTGGAGATGGCAGTCCAGTGTCAACAGTCCCTTTAAATAACAATCAAGTGAAAGGCTATGCTACATGCAAATTTAACATTCACTTAATAGTTTTGTAGTGTCAAAAATGTATGGAAGAAGGTAAATGGTTGAATTGTGGAAAATTTCCTCTTGCCTAAAATCACGTACTTTTCCCAAATACTCATAGTCAGAACTGAAAGAATGGGCAAGTGTCCAACTGAGGAAATATATGGGCACACGACTGCATTTTCACAGAGTGGCCAAAAAGGGTCATAGGCAAATCTGACTGGTTGTCTAACATGTCTATACCCAGGGAAGAGGGGGAAAACAAGTCAATGTTCAGAAGGAGAGTAAGGGGCATTTATATTTATCTTAACATGCAAATGTTATCTTTAAAGGGCTGGCTTAAGTAATATTCTATATTTGAAGATTGTCATGGACAATTTCATAAAATGAAGCAGAGGGAAGATTACTTGGTCAAATTGTCAGTTTAATAAGATAGAAATGTACTAAAAGTTTTAAAAGGCAATATTTTTCATATTATTCATCACCTTCATCATCTCTTTGTCCTACAAAAGCAGATTATTAGTGGGAATCTATCATAAGACAGTTGTCGAGGTCCATAGCTAAGCTCCCATTAGCTGTTTTTTCTTTTGTCTTTGAAAAATAGGTTCAGAGCCAATCATTAGAATCAGCGGTGGCTGACGTTATTCTTTCCTTGAAAAAGCCAAGGGACTCATTTATTCATCACTTCTTGCTCAACTATGGCAGCTGTGTGACAGTTGAACTTGACGTTGTCCTACTTCCTTTCACTAACAATCCATGCTAGGCAAATCTGTCAATTTTGAAAGTATATTTTAATTATTTAAACATAGAAAAGGACAGTGGGGTGGGGGCTGACTATGGGAGCAGGGCTGGGCTGGCAGGGGACAGCAAGGAGGGGAAATGGGACAACTGTAACTGAACAAAAATAAAAAAAAGAGTTAAAAATTAAAAAAGAAAGAGACTCTTTTAAAGCAAAATTTGGGCTAGGTGGCGGAATGGAGATGTATAGAATCATAAGTGTGAAAAGTCAAATGGCATTCTTCTCAGGAGTGGAAGCGTGGAAATGTTCTACAGAATCTCAGCACATCATTTGACCTAATGTTGCAGTGACGGTGTTGGATCAGGACTCTCTCCCCCACGGGTCCCTCACCATCCATGTCTGCACCAACCTGACGTGCCACACAGACAACCCTGGGAACAAGGGGCATCCAAATGCCAGTGTAACATCTGGAGGTTTGGTGCGGAACGTTTATGTTTCAAATGAACTTTACCCAATCCTCAGAAATGTTTTAGTATACAGTTTGAAAATGATGCCATAATGAAGAGTGGACTTTTTATATCTATTGTTAATAGTATACATTTTTTATTTAAAAAAGAAAAAATTTTTTCTTTTTTCACTTTTTTCAATTTTTCACTTTTTTTAGTGTATCCCCTACATGAATTAAAATACCACATGTTTATTTCATCTAAATCTGAGTTCAGTAGAATTAGAAAATATTTCTTTTTTTATTATTTATTATTTATTTATTTTTTAGTTATTTTTCAAGTACAGTTTTTTGTCTATTTCTCCCATCCCAGCCCCCCTGTCCTGTGCTCCCCACTTCCCTCTCATCTCCATCCCCCTAGCTCTCATCCCTGAGTTCAGTAGAATTAGAAAATATTTCAAATATTCATATTTTTAAGAGACATTTCTAATTTCATGCCAAAGTGGACAATTGGTCATGTCTGCGTAGTCAACACCATGAATACTGTGCATGCTGATTCATTGCGCTGAACACTGAGAACCACTTGCTTGCTGCTTATTCATAAGTGGAATCCACTTCTGTTCCTTGCAGAAGGGCAAAGTGACCTCAGAAATATTAATTCCCACTTTTTCCCCCAGATATGACTGCAAAAACAAAACAGCACCAGGTAGTTGAAGCCAAAAATAAGAAGTGCATTTACTGCCTGCTGAGGAAAGGCCAAGGAACTAAAATGTCCTCCTCCGATATTCTGGTGGCCATCTCGAAAAGCACAGGTCCTCGACAGGAGCGACTGTCCCCCAGCATCACCTGGCGAGGTCTGTGGACATTTTTGTTTTCAGTCTGGGGTTGGGGGGGCAATGCTACAGACACTAATAAGTAGGGGCCAAGAATGCTGCTCCACATTCTACGATGCACAGGAGGGCCCCCCAAAATGTGTTATCTGGGCCAACATGAGAGCGGGGCTGCTGCTGGGAACCCTCACAGCTGAGTGAGAGTGAGCTCTGTCTTCAGTAGCCTCTTAAGAATGTCCCAAGGCTCAACATTTGCATGAACTTCACCTTGTGAAACCCGCAGGGACATCAGAATGAATGAATGAGTGGATGGGAAATGTCCGTGGCTGAAATGAGTGATGGCAACATTCTTAGGGAGAATTATTTATTGGCCAGAGTAACTTATGATTTTTCTTTTTCCACAAGCATTTCTCAACAGCATCTTTGTTTCATAACAAGAAGAGAATGTAGTGGTTTAGACGAAGACTTCCTGGGTAAATAAATTCAAATGTTTCATACCTACTTTCCTTTAATTGCTTATAATTATTTTTCTGAAGAGTCAACCAATCTCAAAAACAAGGTTTACATATTTTTTTAAAAAAATGCTTATTCAGAAAGTTATTTTGAAATTAAAAATGTGATGGGTGATTATAATATTTCCTTTTTGTAAAGTTCCTTTGTTTCCTTGATATTTTAAAGACCAATTTATGTTAATGCTCTCTAATACTGAAAGCAATAATAATGCTTTAAAAGATCTTGAACTGGCAAGTAATATTCACACTAAACAGTGAAAAAATCCAAGAACACAGACTGGAGAAGGTTTACAAGTTGAACAAACCCTTGTCATCACAGCAAGACTGAGACATGGAGCACTGGCCACATCCTAGGACCCCTTTTTGTCCTTAGTTCTAACACTTCA